GGTAACTATTATTGTAAGCAAACTCAGATAATGGCAAGAAATCTTCCCAACTACCACGAAAACCAATCACACAACCCCGTAACATATCCTCCAACACCTGAATTACACGCTCAGACTGTCCATCAGTCTGAGGATGAAAAGATGTACTGAAATTCAAACGAGTACCCAGAGCCTCGTGCAAAGCTTTCCAGAACCTGGAAGTGAACCTCGGATCTCGATCAGATATGATAGACAACGGAACACCATGAAGTCTAACAATCTCAGAAATGTACAACTTAGCCAGTTTGTCCAGAGAATAATTAATCCGGATAGGAATAAAGTGCACTGATTTGGTGAGTCGATCAATAATCACCCAAATAGAATCCTTTTTAGAAGGTGTCAGAGGAAGACCAGTAACGAAGTCCATTGTAATGCGCTCCCATTTCCAATCAGAAATCTTAATTGACTGTAACAATCCAGATGGATGCTGGTGTTCTGCCTTAACTTGCTGACAAGTCAAACACCTCGCCACAAAATCTGAAATATTCTTTTTCATACCAGTCCAGAAGTAGCGCTTTTTGAGATTATTGTACATTTTGTCCCCGCCAGGGTGCCTAGCATAAGGACTACTATGAGCCTCCTGAAGAATAACTCGTCTCAATTCATCATCTTTAGGAACGCAGTATCGACCGTGAAAACACAAAATACCATCCTGATCCACAGTATACTCTGAACTCGATCCTTGTTTAACTTGCTCAATAATGGAGAGCAATGTGTTATCCAGAAGTTGTTTGGTCTTAATCTCCTCAGCCAAAGTAGGCTTAACCTGCAACTCTGCTAACAGACTATTATCATCAAATAAACTTAAGTTGGCGAATAAGGCTCTGAGATATGTTATCACCTTACGGCTCAAGACGTCTGCCACTACATTAGCTTTCCCTGGATGATATTCTATCTCTAAATCATAGTCCTTTAGAAGCTCCAACCAGCGACGTTGTCTCAAATTCAATTCTTTCTGAGTAAGCAGATACTTCATACTCTTATTATCAGTATAAATATAACATTTTTCTCCGTATAGGTAGTGTCTCCAGATCTTTAAAGCAAAAACCACAGCAGCTAACTCCAGATTGTGAATAGGATAGTTACGCTCATGCGGCTTTAACTGACGAGAAGCATAAGCGACGACCTTCCCATCTTGCATCAAAACACATCCTAACCCAGAGTGGGAAGCATCGCTGTAGACAGAAAAATCCTTTCCAGATTCAGGCTGAATCAGCACTGGGGCTTGGGTTAGAACAGTCTTCAATTTCTCAAAACTAGCTTGTTGATTCTCTTAACATACTTCTAGCATCTTGCATAAACCCTCATGGTGTTAAAAACCAGTTATCCAAATCTTCTAAGCAAAACTAGCATTTCTTACGCACATCTGTAATTTTACCGGATCAATATGTATTTTTAGAGTTATTAACCAACTTCCAGGGACAATTCTTGTTATCTTACAACATAAGGGTATTTTCATAATTTTACCCTACCGGAGTATTCTTATAATTTCTTATCCAAGTACCTTTGATGAAATAAATTATATGCTACAGATCCAAGTTGATTCCTTTATCACTAATCACAAAACTCGTAATTTAATTCTAACAATCCCTCAATTTCTTATATCAGTTATCCAAGCCGTATTCATTTACCGAATTTTTACCGCATCCATATCGATTGTATGAAATAATTAAATATCAAAATGAGACCAAACATATTCATTCATGCATTTATCAATACCAACATGTTCCATAAAGGGGAAGCTAATTGTAACAACCCGGAAATTTGAAAATAATTTTTAATTGAAATTTTAAGTTTTTAATTGTGAAAATTGATAAATTTTGGCAAAATTTATCAATTTTCACAATTAAAAACTTAAAATTTCAATTAAAAATTATTTTCAAATTTCCGGGTTGTTACAATTCCGTTCTGGAACGATCAAAGAATTAGGATCGACTCAAAGTAAGCAAGGCTAAGGTGAGTGCAATTTAATTTGTACTTATGTTATCGAATCAACATTGGCTTGCGATAAGCCAGTGACGGAGTTACTATGGTAAGAAGTGACTCCTAAAATATTATTTGATTTGTGATTTTTATGTGTGCATGAGTACATGAAAATGGGTATATGTGTCATATATTATTATATGTGATACTGAACTATATGAATATATGAAAGTATGTACATGAATACATGTATAAGTTTATATGTTATTCTATGTGCTATGTGATGTATATATGAACATATGTGAACAAGATATGACATACGTGTTTACATGAACACATGAGAAATGATATAAGCTATATGATAGATGATATGTGAACGTATTCAAATGACATATGTTATATAATATGAAATGAATGATCATATGCACATGTGATATGTTATAGAAGAAATTATATGAGTACATGAATATATGAAGCATAAGAAAAATGCCATGTTATATAATACGAGAGCTATAGGTATAGTTGGCATGCCAAGAGTCGAGGGTCTACGTGGTCCTTCGGGACATATACAGAGGTCCTTCGGGACATATACATAGGTCCTTCGGGACAAATACATAGGTCATTCGGGACAAATTTCACATGCCCCTAGTGGGACCCCATACGAGCTGTGGTGACAGCATATGTGCACAATCTCTATGTACTCACATATCTTTAGTTCTTATAAGTGTACCATGGGCTAATAAAGAGACAATAAAAAAATACAATATATGTGATGTATATGGTTTTGGTGATATGAAATGTGTTACATGAATTATATGATATACAAAAATGATAAGTACAAGATCATATGATAAATAGAGATTATGATAATGATGGTATATGTGTATGTATACATTTTAATATATGAAATGTTTTATGGTTTCTATTATATGTTTTTAATATGCCTCATTAAGTCAACGACTTAGCGTGTGATTGTTTCACACATAGGTTTCGAAAAGAGGAAGAATGATAAAAGTTAAGCAAGACAGGTCAATTCTCCTTTCCAAAGATCAGATCAGAAAAGAGTTTAATAGTATGTAGTTTGTAATACTTATAGTGGTTGGCATGTAAATAAGGATTTGAATCCGATATGCCCTAATCGGTTTTGTAAAATCATATGAATGAGTTTTGTAATGGTTTAAACGTGTTTACGTAAATGGTAACTTTATAGTGATGAAAGGTTAAGTTTTTATGAGTTTTATATATGTTTTACCGAAATTACTGTAGCAGTGCATCAATACACAATTTATGTTCGATGTTTTTGTGCATTAGTACACTGTTCATGGTACTATTTGCACAATATCAGTACTATTCATACAATATAGTACTATTCATAAAAATGTTTCTTTCCTTAAATTTGTTATAACGAACATAATTCAACCGTATATTATTTTATTTTCTTAATATAAGTCCAAATGTTCTATTATTTTGTAAGAATATTGTTTCAAAAAGTTAATGTGATATCTCGGACTTGTATTCGGGTCGGGTACGGGTTGGGGGTGTTACAGATCAAACCTGGGACACTTCCTGTCTGCCATTTCTTCCCGGCGGACAACTTTGTTCTTGTTCCGGACACTTGAATTTGTAGTACTTGTGTTTGTTGCGAGACATATGTTGTCTCGAGTAATAAAAACTTTATAGAAGATAGATTAAATTATTTTTGTTTTGATCAATTAATTATTTTTTTTCAAAATTATATTCAATGTTATGTTTTGTCTTATTTTAGTCACCTGCCTTTTAATTTGACAGTTAAATTAACGAAAACAATGATATCTCATGGTATAATAATAGTTTTAGTCCTCAAAATTTACACATTCTATTAAATTAGTCATAATTTAAAATAATTCAATAGATCACCTTTCTCATTAAAATTTTGACTTTCTGTCAAATTTTGGCCACGGTCTCGTTAAAATTTTGCTAAAACCCCTTTCGAATTGAAGTTACAATATCTTCCATGGGTAATTAGAGTTGGCTTTCTGGAACAATAACTTGGAAATTTACTGAATGCAGAGTGATGCTTTATTCGGTTACATGCATGCACCACGAGTCATGGTTTTCGTAAATCCGACATCAAGTATTAATAAATTAAATCCGGCATCAAGCATTAATAAATTATTTTAAATTAAAATAAGAATCAAATTAATAGAATTTTGAAATATTGAGGTTTTATTGAATTATTTCAAATTATGATGAATTTAACGGAATATGTGAGTTTTGATGACTAATATTGTTATTATACTATGCCATAACATCATTTTTCTTATAGGCAAACCGAACATTGGGAGACAAAAACAGAAGCGAAACGTATTGTTAGGAATGGTTGTGAAAACAAAGTTGAGTGACTAAAATAGAAACATGAGAATAGATGGGTGACAAATAATTAGTTTAACCTAAAAATAATTAAGTCCTAAAATTTTATAGAAAATCATTTAAATTTTCTGCCATATCATCATTCACATTTTATCTGTTTTTTCAAAGTTTGAGAAGATTAATACCACCAGTTTTCATATCAGTTTTTCAGTGTAAAAATTTTCAAGGATTGTTTTAATCTTAGGGGACAATGTCCATTTCTAATATTACATTAATTAGAATGATTTTATTTCTAAGACAGTGGTTTATCTATAATATGATCAAACTGATAGTCTTTTAATTTCATTATTTTCCTGTCAATACTAATATCTCAATTTTATAGTAGTAATTCAATATTTCCAATAAATAAAATACAAGTGATTAAAATGAATAAACTTATATAAACTAAAGTTTATAAAATTTGTATATCAAATAATTTCCTTATAAAAATATCCATACCGTTCTTAGAAAACCCCATTATCCCTTAATTTTTATTAAAGAATACATATGGATATATACCTATTTAAATCTTTTAATTTTTACTTTATTTTGATTTTATCCTAATTTTGTTATCAATTATACTTTGCCCCTTAAATTGATATCTTGTCTCCTCGGTGAAAAACTCACTTCTTTTAGCATAAAAAATACTCTACACACACAAAAGCATCATCATATTTTGCAAATACTCTGATTTCTGATTTAATGTGTTTTCTGTAGAACACACAAATGAGTTTATTCCGACAGATATTTCAAACCAATAAGAAAACAAGAGTTTATTCTGATAGAGACACTCATATACTAGGGTGACACTATAAATATTTAAGCCGATGGAAATATAAATAGGAGACAATGCTTCACCCATCTTCAATTATTGATCTTTCTGGCCATATATATATAGCACATATATTATTTTGAATACATAAGATTCTTCTTCCTTGAAAGTCTAGTATTTTATTAAACGATTACTTCTCTTTTGATGAACATAGTCTTCAAGTTGAACCTGAAAGTCAACAACAAACTTCTTTAATTCACAGTATTTATAAATCAATTATATATTGATCCAAATTAAAATCCATCTCAAAAGATTTATCTATTTCTACACGTTAATGAAATTTACCAATTTTCTTCGGATGATAGAAAAAAGGAATTGGGTTTATAACATATTCTTTTCCTGCATTGTCCATTTCTTGACCATCTATTTATAAGAGATAAAATAAAAGAATTATAGACCGATCAAAATTTAAATCTGTAACAAAAGATTTATCCATTTCTACATGTTATTGAAACTTACCAACTTTATTCGGATGGTAGAAAAAAGGAATTGGGTTTATAACAGATTCTTTTCTTGCATTGTCCATTTCCTGACCATCTATTTATAAGAGATAAAATAAAATAATTATAGACCGATCAAAATTTAAATTTGTAACAAAAGATTTATCCATTTCTACATGTTACTAAAACTTACCAACTTTCTTCGGATGGTAGAAAAAAGGAATTGGGTTTATAACAATTTTTTTCCCTACATTGTTCATTTCTTGACCATCTATTTATAAGAGATAAAATAAAAGAATTATAAACCGATCAGAATTTAAATTTGTAACAAAATATTTATTCATTTCTATATGTTCTTGGAACTTACCAACTTTCTTCGGATGGTAGAAAAAAGGAATTGGGTTTATAACAGATTCTTTTCCTGTATTATCCATTTCCTGATCATCTATTTATAAATAAAATAAAAGAATTATAGACCGATCAAAATTTAAATTTGTAACAAAAGATTTATCCATTTCTACATGTTACTGAAACTTACCAACTTTCTTCAGATGGTAGAAAAAAGGAATTGGGTTTATAACATATTCTTTTCCTGCATTGTCCATTTCTTGATCATCTATTTATAAGAGATAAAATAAAAGAATTATAGACCGATCAAAATTTAAATTTGCACCAAAAGATTTATCCATTTCTACATGTTCCTGAAACTTACCAACTTTCTTCGGATGGTAGAAAAAAGGAATTGAGTTTATAACATATTCTTTTTCTACATTGTCTATTTTCTTATCTTTTTATAAGAGATAAAATAAAAGAATTATAAACTGATCAAAATTTAAATTTGTAACAAAATTTTTATCCATTACTACAAGTTATTGAAACTTACCAACTTTATTCGGATGGTAGAAAAAAGGAATTGGGTTCATAATATACTGTTCTTTTGCTTTTTTAGTTGCTTCTGTCTGAAACCTTTCCTTCGTTTCACCATTATATTCTTCGCCTGGCGCTTTTCTTGCTGCAATTGTCATAGTAAGCTGCATAATAATTAAGCAATTGAGAGTTTTTAATCATGAGTTTTATCAATATTTGATATTATAATTAATTTAATTTAATTTTGACTAAATTTGTATTCATTATAAAAATTAGATATTTAGATTTTACTTTGTATGTGGATAGTATAGTAATTTAAATTTAACTTTTTATTTATCAAATACTATTTTGTATTAATTTAACTATTTTATCATAAAAAGTACATATTTTATTAAATGAGTCAAAGTAAAAAAATTAAAACTTAATAAGGGATCTCACTAGTAAAAGAAAAAAATTATCATTTCGAATTCAAGATCTCTAAGGAGAATAACAATCTTTTTTAGTTAGTAATAGGCATGGGTCGGGTTAGGTTTTCGACCAACCCAATACGACCCAAAAAATATGCACTCACTACCCGAAACCTGACCCGACTTGAGTTTAACGTGAATTCACCCGACCCGAAATAAATATATTGATAAAAATTATTAATTTTATTTGATATAATGTGAATCGAATTGAAAAAATATAAAGAGATATATTATTATAACTATCCCTAAATATATAAGATATAATTACATTATTTTTAGAATCAGATATTGTTCACAATAAATTTGAACTCGATCTGATCCGAACTTATATTTTTAAAAGAAATCTAGCCCCACAAAACCGGGTCAAGTCTAAACATGTTAAATTCGAGTCTCGTATCCATCCCTATTTTTATAACTAAAACCACTACATGGATTATTAATTACTTGTTTTTCAAACATAAATGCTTAAGGAATGTAAAGAAAATAATGAGGAAAAAGAAAATGTACCAAGAGTATGCAGAGGAAAGCGAAGAATACAAGAGTAGATTTCATGATTGCAAAGAAAACCAAATAGCTTTTCAAGGATAGCTTGACTGCGATATCCGTTCTACCACACACATATATATAGGAAGGAAGATATCAATTAAAAATTAAAGAAATATAATAATATCTTTAAATAAGTGTCACCTAACCAATATTAAATAGCAAATTGTAGATATTATATTTTAATTGAACAAAAAGATAAGTAAGAGTCACGTTCGATTATATTATTAGGAAAAAAATTAAATGATCGAATAATTATTTCTATGATGTTTATAATTTTAATTGCTTATGATGACTCCTCTTAAAGGACTATTGACACTGATGACGAATTACAGAGTTTTCAAGGAAGAACAAGAAGAATAAATGATAAATTATTTTTTTATGAAAAATTAGAATTTTTTTAAGAGAATATCTATTTGATTTAAGTCTCTAATTAAATTAATATTTATATTCATTAATTTGTTAATTTATATTTTTTAATTCGTTAATATGAAATAATAGAGTACAATGATGACGATTCAGTGAATATATAGATATTATGCTTTTCATATTTGATTAATTATTTTAAAATATTGAATAAATGGTTTTAAAAGAAAAAAATTATTCCCTTTGATAAACCGTGTGACACTTAAATTAAATATGGTTTAAGGGATCGGTTAAGGTACAAAGAAGCTGGAATATAGGATGAGAGGAGAGAAAATGGGTTTGGATATGTGGATGGATGTTCTCTTATTGTATGGATATGGGTCCTGAGGAACGGATTTTGGGCCTAAATTTTTTTTGACAATACAATATGTTAATAATTTTTTTTAACAATGTCGACTGGATTTCATTAATAAAAATATTAGAATGAATCAAAATAACAATGCACCCGAATATAGAGCGAAAAATGAGACAATATTCAAAAAAAACTTATACATAAAATAAAAATATGAAACTCAAAGATATGAAGAAAACGAAATCTCCCATTGAAAATGATGTCCAACATTAAAAGAATCTAGTAACATTCATAAAACTCATTGTCTATGTCCAAAGAGACGTTTTACGAAGTGATAAAGGTGTGGTGACCAAACCAAACAATTTGGCAGGCTACTTTGCAACACAATTATGATTATATCGGCAAACAACCTTTTACCAAAGAGGGGATCTCTCAATATGTGACCACCGACAAACCAATAAGAAAACAAAGGACACGGGGATCTTTGTGCGAGCACCAACACGACCGCAGAGGTATGCGAAAAACTTACCAAAAATCATAAGGAATGTGGCACGAGAGCAGAGAAAAACGTGTCACAAGGATATATATTCTTATTTAAATTAAATTGAAAAAATCAAAAAAGAAAAAAGAAAGAACATAGCATAAACAAGAACAAAAATAATAATAATCATTGGCAGTCGACAACCAATATTAAGATTGGTACTACCGTCTGCTAAACAAAAATCAAAAGGAAGGAAGAAGGTAACACATAAATATTAAGAGAAAACTTAGGTTAAAAAAAGAGAAATCCTATTAAATGTTAATAAATTAAAATTAAAATAAAACTTTTGATATTAAAGTAAATCCATCTTTTAAAATAACATCAAGCTCTAATAGGAGTAATGACTTGATAATCTATGCAAAAAATGTCGAAGATGTAATTGACTTAAATGTTAATTGAGCATTAAACATATTAATATAATATCAATATATTAAGAATTTAAGAGAGATGAATGAATTATAATTGTTTTTACTTATTCAAAAATCTGCTGCAATACATTGCTTTTATAGCAAACAAGTGCTGAAGCTGAAAGAAGCTGAAAAACAATTAGATCTAACAGTCCTAACCGCTGAGCTAACAACCTAACAACCCTAGGCTTAGCTCACCTACAACACAATGCACCCTAGAGAACATGAGTCTTAGCACACGCTATTGCATGCCATGCACTTAATCTTCCAGCATTCTCTCTGCTTCTTCTTCTTCTCCTTTCTTCAGCAAACACATATTCACTCTTTCATGAAATGTTGTGAAAGCTGCTTTGGAGAGCAGTTTTGTTAGCCCATCTACAAGTTGATGAGTAGCATGAACATAGCTAACACATAACTGATTTCCAACTATTTTATTCCTTACAAAATGAACATATAAGTCCCAGTATTTGGATTGAGCATGTTGAACAGGATTTGAACTCAATGCAATTGCATTGGTATTATCACACCAGATGATGGGTTTATCATGTCGAACCACTCCAAGATCGGTTAGTAAGCATCAACCCAAGCAACTTCTGTAGCAACATCATCTAAGCTACGATATTTTACTTCCATGGTGGACCTTGAAACAACCTTTTGCTTTTTTGCACTCTATGACACCATATTATCACCAACTAGCACACAATGACCTGACATCGATCTTCGATCATCAATATAACCACCCCAATCAGTATCAGCAAATGCCACCACACGTAGTGCTGCCTTAAACGGTTTAAAAACCAAACCATACTTCACTGTTCCAGCCAGGTATCACAAGATACATTTGGCAGCCAACAAGTGACACTCACGTGGCTCATGCATAAATTGAGCTATATTGCTCACTCTGTAAACAATAACTGGTCTCGTGTGACAGACATACAACAACGCTCCAACCATACTTTGAAATTCTCAAGCATTTTCCAGTAGTTGTCCGGCATCTCGTCAGAGTTTGTTAGTGAGAACCATAGGAGTGCTGGTCGGTGTAGCCTTTGATAACAACCGACTGCCCAATTCCTAAAAAATAATGCAAATCACTGAGATCCTTCAACGAAAAATTATCATGAAGTGAATGAACCACTCGTTCAATTACAATAACCGACTATCCAGTAACCACAATGTATTCTACATAGACAAGAATATATGTAAATTCCCCATGAACATGAGAAATAAAGAGTGATGCATCAGCCTTCGTGTTAGGATTTTCGGAAGCCAGATTCGACAACCAGAACGGTTTATAAAGAGGGGTCGGAACGGATTTTTGAGTTTAGGGAGTAAGGAGATTGAAAGATAGAAAATTGCACAGCGATTTAGAGTGGTTCGACTTTCTAAACCAAAGTCTACGTCCACTACCTTAGCTCCTCACCAATGATTTTCCAACAAATTCACTAATTTGTTCTTTCTTTTGAGGACAAAGAGATAACCTTACAACTACCTAGATTTTCCGGGCTAAACTAGAACCTTTCCCTAGCTTTTATACGGGATAAGCTAGAACCTTTCCCCTTTACAAAAGGATAAAATAAGTAAACAAGAAAACCTCTCTAAGGTGGGTGTTTACAAGATTAAGCTCACAAGAACAAAATATTTACAAGAGAAAGATTGAAAAACTCTTCTCTTGTGTTTGATTGCTTGGATAGTTGTTCTCTTACTTCTTCAAGTGTCCTTAGCTTGTATTTATAGTTTGGAATGTGTTTGAAGTCATATCTAGCCGTTGGGGATGTTTTGGAGCCGTTTAGGAATGATTTTTCTGCAAAAATAGGCTGCCCAGAATGGGGGAAATCGGTACCCCTTCATAGGGAATCGATACTCCTTCATAATATTCAAATATTATGACCGTTGGGCTGATGAACAGTGAGGGAATCGGTACCCTCAAGGGGGAATCGGTTCCCTTCGAGTAATCTGTTATTTCTCAGTGCCAAACCATGCAGGGGGAATCTATACCCCCTGGGGGGAATCTGCTCCCTCTGGGCAATCTGGTTTTTCTTGCTCAAATCCGATTTTAATGAACTTTGAATTATTTTTGAAACCTTTGAATAAATTCAATTCAAGTAACATTTTGCCTTTATTTGTTATATCGAAACATATTTCAACAATCTCCCCCTTTTTGATATAACAAAACATTTGAAAAATTGTTTTTGGCAAAACTCCCCCTTAATAAAATGTTTAATGAAAAAGATACCAATTGTTGAAAAATATATGAAAATGTTAAGCTCCCCATTTTTCATTAAGAAATTGAATTTTTAAACCAAACTTCTCCCCCTTTTTGTTATATAAAAAATAATTCAATCTTTTACAGTTCTAAAATAACATTGGAGAGTAAGTGGTAAATTTGACATTTAAAAATTTATTTGAAAAATCAAAAACTCCCCCTCAATAAATGCATTCCAAATAAAATTTAGCTTTAAGAACTTGACACTTAAACAAAATTGAATTTCAACAAAGAATAACAAACATGTTAGTAGCACATGAAATTCAATATATCCAAGACTAAAATACTTTATGCAATACCAATTGTTGAATTTAAGATCATATGCATAAAGTTTTCTAAAAATGGTATGCATTTGAAAAATTTTGATATCAATTATTAGAGAGATATCATTTTTATTTAAACTACATGCATAAACATTCAAATTTAGGTCAAAATTTTTTAAAGATTTATAAAATCAAAGTATTTGAAAAGTTGATATCAATTGTTAGAGAGATATCATTTTCATTAAAACAAATTTTGACCAAAATTTTATTATGATGAACTAAAAATTCTAAAAAATCATTACAACTTTAAAATGTTCATCATAATCATCTTTTCAACATACATGAGATTAAAACAATGATGCATAATCATTTAAAACCAAAACTCATGCATGCTTAAAATCAAATGAGCAACCAAATAATCCAAAATTAAAAGTATTAAGCTTAGAGGTTACCCATTCCTTTTTCATGTGTGGCTAGAGCATATTGAATATCATCATTTTCATCACAATTGCTTCCACACACCTACAAGAGACATTTAAGTAGATTTTGGTATCCAAATTGCTTTGGATCCTTGAACGTTAGTTATAATGCCTCTTGTTCCTTTTGGAACCCATACTTGCCTAATTTTAAAATGTTTTCCTTTCTTCAAAGGATAAGTATGTTCCATATGACCATGATAATGGCAATGTGAGCATATTGTCATTATTGAACTGGATGAATTATTTAGAATGCTCTCTTTTTCTCTTGTTAAACATTCAAGCTTATCTTTTAAATTGAAATTTTCTTTTTCAATACTTTCAAATTTCATTTTTGAGAGTTCTAAATCTTTCTTCAAGATTTCATTTTGATTTT